GATAGCAAAGACATGGAATCAATCTAAATGCTCATCAATGATAGACTAGATAAAGAAAATGTTTTACATACACCCATGGAATACTACTACACAACCATAAAAGAGAATGAGATTACATCCTTTTCAGCAACATAGAGGAAGCTGGAGGCCATTGTCTTAAGCAAACTAATATAGGAACAGAAAACCTAATAATGCATTGTTCTCACTTACAAGTGGGAGCTAAACATTGAGTACATATGGACACATAGGTACTTGAGAGTGAAGGGTGGGAGAAAGGAAAGGATTGAAAAACTACGTGTTGAGTACTATATTTATTACCTGGGTGACAAAATAACCTATACATCGAATCCCTGTGACACAAATTTCCTGTATAACAAAGCTGCACATGTATCCCTGAACCTAAAACAAAATTTTTAAAAAAGAAAAATTCTAACCACTTTAAAATGTTTTATTAGGCCTTGCAATGGCTGATTCCTGCCTATTTTTCTACATCATTACATGTTATTTTCTTTCCTTGGTACACTAGTCATTTTTCAGTGCCTCAAACCCACTCTTCCTTGACCTTAAGGCTTTGAGTTCAATGTTTCCTACCAGTATTCTGCCAGCAGTAGTCCTTCGGTACTATTTACTAGAAGACTCCCTATCCTTCAAGAACTGCTGTCATCTTAAATGTGCTTTCCTCAATAAGACCTTCTATGCCCACACTCATGTCTCCCCACCCCTGCCCACTCTGCAACATCCAAGAATTTATGATACTTATATCACATTATTGTCAGTCATGAATAAATACAAGGGCCATAAGGGCCCTCAAAATGTATGGTCCTTATTAGAACCCAAAACAACAAACCAACAAGTATTTTGACTATGAAAGTTCAGTATAGATTTTAAAATAATTTTGAATAATCAAACGATATAATGAGTTATATTTTCACACAGAAAATACAACTATATGCTATATTTTATCACCTGAAGTTTCTATGAGAGATAGACTTTGTTAATGTGACAAAACTATAACATTAATGGATTAAAAGACACAATTTCTGTGAAACCCCATCTCTACCCCAAATCCTAAAATTAGCCAGGCATGGTGGCTTATGTGTGTAGTCCTAGCTACTTGAGGGGGCTAAGGTGGGAGGATTGCTTGAAGCCAGGAGGTGGATATTGCAGTTAGCCAAGATTGCACCATTGCACTACAACCTGGGTGACAGAGACCGTCTCAAAAAAAAAGACACAATTTCTTATTGTTTTTCAAGTTTCTATACTTTTAGTTGAATATCCAGAAAAGAAGTGGGTAGATAATGGATTCTTTTCATTTTAGTCACAATGTATCATTCTAGGAATCTCAGAGCTAAGTTTAAGGTTAAACATAATACTTGTATTCACCATTCCTTCAAGAAATATCTGTTCAGCAACTTTTATGTGACAATGAGAAGCTGGCTAAGTCTCTGAGAATCAATTTTTCCCATTAATCAATTAATCTAACAGTCAATTCACTAAATTCAAAATCATTATTGATAATTATTTCCTAACAGCCCTTTAACTATAAAATTGTCGGTGTATACCTTACACTGTAATCTTCTAAATTAGAATTGGGCAGATTATTTATATTTGTTCAGCTCTTACTACTATGCCCTTTGTCCTTAATTATTCTTTTGCTTTTTACCTTTTTTTCAATATATTCTTTTTTTCTAATTTATTAAGACAATTTCAAATTTTATTTTTGTTATTCAGGCTGCAGGCAGGTCAGTATAACCTGAAATAATAAGATACCCTCTTCTTTCATGTGAGTCACTGGTAGGCAGAGTGGTGGTATGACATCAGTCCTGATTTCTGTGGGATGGTTCTTAGAAATGCTTTCCAGATAGATTTAAATTAGTGTTATCAGTTTCATCATATAAACCTTTATTGCTTTCTGCAGCCAACTATCCACACTGTAGTAGAAACAGTGTTTCTTTGTATCTGGGGTTGCAAGCTCCACAAAACTTTAAAGGAGCCCATGGCAGAGAGGATTAAGATGGAATCAGCATGTTCTATGTGATTTTTATATTTATGAAATCATTTATTACTCATAACAATCTTGTCAGAAAGATAATATTTTTCCCATTTATAGATGAGGAAACTAATGCCTGAAGAGATTAAGGAATCTCTCGTGTTATTTGCCCCTTTAGTTCTTTGTGCTCTGCAATCTTGCCTCTGTCAGAAAAAGCAGGAGATGTTTTTCAATATTAGACAACTGGTACTCTGGTCATTGCAGAAATAACATGCTTTGGGATTATATGTTAAGGTGTTGTTGGCTGTTTTTAATTTCGTTCTTTCTTTCTTTTTTCTTTTTTGAGATGGATTCTCTCTTTGTCGCCAGGCTGGAGTGCAGTGGCCGGATCTCGGCTCACTGCAACCTCCGCCTCCCAGGTTCAAGGGATTCTCCTGCCTCAGGCTCCCAAGTAGCTGGGACTACAGATGTGCACCACCATGCCAGGCTAATTTTTGTATTTTTAGTAGAGATAGGGTTTCACCATGTTGGCCAGGATGGTCTCCATCTCTTGATGTCCTGATCTGCCCGCCTCGGCCTCCCAAACTGCTGGGATTGCAGGCATGAGCCACAGCTCCCTGCCAGGTTTCTTAAAAAGATAAATGGAAGGTAAGAGGTGGAAGGAAAACAGGTTTTGGTGGGGTGACGTATTTGTTTTCTTTTGTTGGCATAGTAAAGTAGTACAAACAGTGGCTTAAATCAATCCCATTTGCTATCTCACCATTCTGTAGATCAGAAAATTGGTTTTTGTTCTCTTCATTGGGTCTTACCAAGACAAAAAAAGATGCTGGCTGGGTGCGGTGGCTCACGCCTGTAATCTCAGCACTTTGTGAGGCTGAGGCGGGTGGATCATGAGATCGAGAGATGGAGACTATCCTGGCCAACATGGTGAAACCCTGTCTTTACTAAAAATACAAAAATTAGCCAGGCGTCTGCCTGTAGTCCCAGCTACTCGGGAGGCTGCGGCGGGAGAATCGCTTCAACTACAGGGCGGAGGTTGCAGTGAGCCGAGATGCGCCCTGCCCTCCAGCCTGGTGGCAGAGCCAGATGCCATCTCAAACCAAAACAACAACAACAAAACAAAAACAAAAACGAAAAAGAGATGTCAACCTCTGGAGTCTTAAAGGGGGGCCCTGGGAAGAACCACTTCCAGGCCCATTCATATTGTTGACAGAATTAAATTCCTTGTGGTTGAAATGCTAAGGTTCTTTTTTTCTTGTTGGCTGTCAGTGGAGGGCTGCCCTTAGCTGCAATAGGCCCCTCTTTGGTCCATGCACATGAGCTCTGTGACTCCAAGGCAGCAAGGGTGCACTGAATCCTTCTGTTGCTTAAATTTTCCATTGCCTTCCTCTTCTTCCAGCTGGAGAACATTCTCTGCGTTTAAGGACTCATGAAATTGGATTGGGCCCATCTGGATAATTCAGAATTCTCTTTCTTTCTTAAGGTCCATAACCTTAATTACATCTGCCAAGTCCCTTTCGCCATGTAATGTAGCATATTCTTAAATTTCAGAGATTAGCCATGGACATCTTTGGGGGACCATTTTGCCTACCACAGACAGAAAAGAAGTGGAAGAAGGAAAAACTTTTATCAATTTAGAAGTATATTTGAGGGAGTTCTTGGTACTTTTTGTTAGATCAAATTTGCTCTAAGTAAAAGATTTCCTCTTTAATAATTGTTTTTTCTGTGTTGTTGAAATTTGTGGGGAAATAAATATACAGATGCATAGTTTAGGGTTTTTAAAAGCTTCCATTTGTGGTATAAGCTGATTTTATTTTGATTTTTTGGTTCTAATTTATAACTTTATAACTTTTCAAGGATAATTAAATATATGTTTTGAAATTTTTTTGCTTATTTATTTGGAATGCATTTTCTTGATTACCACTAATTTTTGGTTTATTGTAGCTTTATTTGGATTACTCTGGTGATCAACATTATGGCTGAGTAAAGACTGTTGGAAATTCTAAGTATGATTTCTAAAGATCTCAAAATTGAAGGAGCAGACGGTTAGCAATAATTAGTTACAAATGGAAACTTATATTCTGTTTGGAAAATCATTTCTCTCTGTGAGGAATTATGTTTTGTATTGGTTTCAGAGTGTTTGGTCTTTGGAGACGTACTTGCGATTTTAGGAGACACAGCAATTGTATCTTCAAATTAAATGTCACTTGGGCCTTCATGCCATGTTTCCTAAGGTCTTTACATCTGGAATAACTTTACCTCTGTTCCAAAGAATCTAAGTAGTTCAGGGTTAAACAGTGTGTTATTGTGATGTCAGGGTGCCTCAACTTCATTTCTCCAAAATGTTCTATTCCATGAGGTTTCTTTTCCTACTTCAATAGAAAAACATTGACATAAATTAAAAGTGAGCACTGAGTTGTTCTTTTGGGAATTGCTCCCTTCTTTTCTTCCTGTATTGACATTAAATTCATGGACTTTTTTTTTTTTTTTTTGCCTGGAGACAGAATCTGTTATATCAGTTTTCCATCTACATTTTGCCTGAGAAAAAATGTGGAAGACAGCTGTTTTAATGTTGAAATGGATCCAGTTTCTCCTAAGCATGTCCTCAGAGCTTTTGGGCATTTATTTTTAACTCTGGCAGAATTAATTTGGAATAAGACATAAATGATTATTATTTACCTATTTATTTTTCTGGAAAAAACAATGTGTGATTACCTATGCCTTTGATTAAGCAGTAAAAATGTACACCCTCTAGTAAATGAGAAAAATAGGATCACTGGGTAAAATAATGCATTTACTCAATTCCTGCTGCGGTCATTTGATTTGACTAGTATTTTGATCACTGATTAAGAATTTAAAATAAGTTATTCATCTGTTTGGATCAGCAACCTGTGCCATTTATCAGGCCTGTACTTGAAAATGTTGTTGTAGTTTCTGTACTAGGTTGTAGTTGGAGGAAAGAGAGTGAGGTATGAAGAAGAAAATGATGTTGCACTAAATTCCACTGCAGGGCTAAAGTCCACGGCAGGACTAAACTCCACTGCAGGACTAAACACTACTGCAGGACTAAACTCCACTGCAGGACTAAACTCCACTGCAGGACTAAAGTCCATGGCAGGACTAAACTCCACTGCAGGACTAAACACTACTGCAGGACTAAACTCCACTGCAGGACTAAAGTCCATGGCAGGACTAAACTCCACTGCAGGACTAAACTCCACTGCAGGACTAAACACTACTGCAGGACTAAACTCCACTGCAGAACTAAACTCCACTGCAGGACTAAAGTCCATGGCAGGACTAAACTCCACTGCAGGACTAAACACTACTGCAGGACTAAACTCCACTGCAGAACTAAACTCCACTGCAGGACTAAACTCCACTGCAGGACTAAACTCCACTGCAGGACTAAACTCCACTGCAGGACTAAACACTACTGCAGGACTAAACTCCACTGCAGAACTAAACTCCACTGCAGGACTAAACTCCACTGCAGGACTAAACTCCACTGCAGGACTAAAGTCCATGGCAGGACTAAACTCCACTGCAGGACTAAACACTACTGCAGGACTAAACTCCACTGCAGGACTAAAGTCCATGGCAGGACTAAAGTCCATGGCAGGACTAAACTCCACTGCAGGACTAAACACTACTGCAGGACTAAACTCCACTGCAGAACTAAACTCCACTGCAGGACTAAACACTACTGCAGGACTAAACTCCACTGCAGGACTAAACTCCACTGCAGGACTAAAGTCCATGGCAGGACTAAACACTACTGCAGGACTAAACACTACTGCAGGACTAAACTCCACTGCAGGACTAAACTCCACTGCAGGACTAAACACTACTGCAGGACTAAACTTCACTGCAGGACTAAACTCCACTGCAGGACTAAATTTCACTGCAGGACTGAATTCCACTGCAGGACTAAACTCCACTGCAGGACTAAATTCCACTGCAGGACTGCCATTCTGGGAGACAGCTTCTATTCTTGGGCTTCACGGGTACCTGGACATTCTTTATTTGACTGGTCAGAGCAAGAACTAACAGTTATTAAATACTTCTGAGGAGATCCCAGCACTTTGGGAGGCCGAGGTGGGTGGATCACGAGGTCAGGGATTGAGACCACCCTGGTCAACATGGTGAAACCCCATCTCTACTAAAAATACAAAAAATTAGCTGGGCATGGTGGCACGTGCCTGTAATCCAAGCTACTCAGGAGGCTGAGGCGGGAGAATTGCCTGAACCCAGGAGGTGGAGGTTGTGGTGAGCCAAGATCGCGCCATTGCACTCCAGCCTGGGTAACAAAAGTGAAACTCCGTCTCAAAAAAAAAAAAACAAAAAATACTTCTGAGGAGTCTACCTCCCTCGCACCTCATCCAGTCTCTGTGGACTGAGTCCCCAAAACTCACCGTGTGTGCATGTGATCATGTGTGTACATGCCTGTGTTGGGATGAGGGCAGGATAAAATTGTTCTTTCTCTGTTCCGCACTTCACTTTGAAAAAGATGAGGAAAGAGTCTGGCCTCCAGTGTGGGCCAGAACTGGGTTTGAATCACAGCTCCATTCCTTGTTAATACCTGTGTGACCTTCAGTGAATCTGTTTCCATATAATGGAGACAGTAATGTCAAGGACTGGAGATAATTTGTGTAAAGCACCCTGCACATATTGGGTCTCGTTGTGAACAGTTAATAAATAGAAGTAATTATTGTCACTATAAAAACTCTGATGTCACCATATTCAGTGTATTACATCTATGGAAAACTTATTAATAGAAACAAAGTAGTTATTTTTCAGTATCATTTAAAAAAGAAACTGTTTAGACCCTCAGCTTCATGAGCACAGTAGACTCTGTGTAGGTGCTGCCAGAAGGAACTTTCAGAGCTCAGCTCTATCTTTGTAGTTTATTAATCTGCTACCATGGAAACAGTTATTTAATCCTTTAAAAAGAAGAAAACAGCTGTAAATAAAGCACTGTTTCAAACAATGTATTGGTAGTGGGCAGCATTTCTTTCTTTCTTTTTTTAAAAAAATATAATTTCTAGGTAACTAACCTCATTTTTGGCAATCTGATTTGGGTTTCCATGGAAACAGAAGTGACAGCTGCCGCCTCCAAACTCTAGTAACTGGTGGGGCTTAGGTTAAGTCTTGCAAATGTCAGTTGTCCCAAGGCACCTAAAAGAGCCAACAGAAATAAGAGTCAGACGATCTTCAGGGAAAAAGAAGGAATAATAAATAAAACATTTACAAAATTCACAATGTTGTGGGTTTGCGGAAAAGCATGTGTAATGGACAGGGAGAGAGAGACTCATGGATGTAATTTACAGTTAGGGGTTATGTGACCTGGCCTCATATTAAACACCTTTTTCTGAATGGCTAACTGACCTAGTTCCTATGTAGTTTTGTTATACTTAGTGCAAGAATATAGGGAAAGGCTGAAAGCTTAGAGGATTAATAAAATATCACATAACGGGCCTATTATTTATTAGCATGAGAACTAAATGTGAAAGAAGACAAATGAATATGTGTAAAAGCCAAACTTATAAAGATAGATGTGTTCAAATGGCAGAGGCCCAAATATTTCTTTGTGGGCTCCCACTGTTGGTCTTTGTAGAGATTTTCCTAATTTCTGATATTTAACAATAATGTTATATACCTCCTAGAATTGTTGGTATAAAGGTAGTTTTAGTTGTTTTTAGAAAGACTTTCCAGTAATTCTACATCTCATCAGAGGGAGAAAAACCAGAATTTCACTTGCATTTCTAACATGTATTCTAAAACAACAGACCTTTTTTCCCTAACTTAGGTATATTGTGAGTATGTGCATGTGAGCTACATCTTTAGGAGAAGAGCTATACCTCTTAATTGTTTTGTGATTGGTGAAATCATCCAGTCTAGGTCACTCTGACCACCAGATCTTTGAGTAAAAGTTTTACTTGGGTCCTGTAGGTGTTTACAGAATTTTCTTTACAAATATCTGAAGGGGTTTTCATAAACGGAGATTTTTATAAGGAAAACAAAAACGTTTAGTTGAGGACTGAGTTTGCTCTGGGCATGAACAATATACAGTTTTGCAACATTTAAGCATAATATTGAAACATGATACCTGGTTTAAAAAGTAACCAAATTTTTATCCCATGAAAAATTATTTTATTATATAAACATTTCTTTAATTATTTGCCTGATTATGAAAATATTGTATACTCTTTCTAAAAGGTTTTTATAAGTGAAGCAAATGAAAAATAAGCCACCACCAATTTCTCTTTCTAGTTACTATTTACAGATAAAGCATGCACTATAAAATCTCCTCACATATATTCTTTGTTTTTTGAGACTGAGTCTCCCTTACACTGTCACTCAGGCTGGAGTGCAGTGGCAGGATCTCAGCTCACTGCAAACTCTCCCTTCTGGGTTCATGTGATTCTTTTGCCTCCTCAGCTTTCTGACTAGCTGGGATTACAGGCATGCACCACCCAATTCCCTCCACCTCTAGCTAATTTTATACTTTTAGTAGAGATGGGGTTTCACTGTGTTGGCCAGCCTGACCTCAAACTCCTGACCTTAAGTGATCGACCCGCCTTGGCCTCCTTCTGGGATTACAGGTGTGAGCCACGTACCCTCCCTCACATATAATCTTATATAATTTTTGACTTAAATATAATCATAATATTCTTTAACATATGCATTCCTAGGTATATACTTATATACATTTGTAACATTCACCACAATATGCATATTCTTTCTAATCTGCTTTATTTTAAACCTCAAACATGTCATAAATGTCTTTCCGTGCCTGTAGTCATAAAAATCGATATGAACTTTAGTAATGGCTTTGCAATAATCCATTGTGTGGACATATTATATGGTACTTAACAAAAGTGCCTAGTTTTAGGGCAATTACATCATTTAAAAAACATTATTTGTAGATGTTTTGAAAAATATCATTATACATACATCTTGTGACCTTGGTGATTTCTTTGGGACATAGTTCTAAAAATGGCATTTTTCTAATTAGGGCTATGTATTTAAGTGTTAAGTAAAAATTGTACCCTTTTCTTAGGAATTCTTATAGCAGTTTTCATCACTTCCTCAGGGCTTGAGATAGCTAATTTCCCCATATATTCACCCAAACTAAATCTTGTCATTAGTTTTTCATCTTTGTTAATCAGGTAGTCCAAACATAATATCGTAATTATTGCATAATTTGTGTTTACTACCGATTGAACTTATTTCATAGATTAAATGCAAATTTTTGTTTCATAATTAGTTCCTGAGATAAATTGTTCTGGTTTGTATGTTTGCAATTTTATGGTGACTAAAGAGTGAGAATTAAGCAAAAAGGAAGGCTCTTATCACCTAAAATATACTTTTCACTTGTCTCCCAGGAGAGACTACATTCCACCATTACAAGTCAATGTTTTGGGGTTAAGGTGCTCTCTTCAACAAAATGAAAATAGCTCTTGTGGGAATAACCACTTAAACTGTTGTCTTAACTCTGGCTGCTATAACAAATGACCTTAGACTGGCTGGCTTAAATTGCAAATATTTATTTCTCAAGGTTCTGGAGTCTGGAACATCCAAGATCAAGATACCAGCAAATTCCGTGTCTGATGAGAGTCTACTTTCTGATTTGAAGATGGTGCCTTCTTGCTGTGTTTTCACATGATGCAGCATGAACTCTCAGATCTCTATGAGGGCACTGGTTTCATTCATGAGGATTCTACCTTCATGATCTAATTCTCTTCCAAAAGCCTCATCTTCTAATACTATCACATTGGGGTTTAGGCTTTTAACAGGAATTTTGGGAGGGCACAAATATTTAGATCATAACGAGTATTGTAACCCAGTAGTACTTTAATTAGTCAGATTTTTTCCATCTAGATTTCTGTGTAAGGGCAAGACCTTAGCCTTAGGAGATATATATATATATACATATATAGTGGGGTGGTACCAAAAATAGGTGACTAAAAGAGTAGACCGTGGTAGATGGCCTTGGGTGGCAAAAGGACATCACAAAATCACAAAATTCGAGGAAAATGTGTGTATTTTGAGAACAGAGAAGAAATTAACAGAAAGTTAGGAGAGCTCAGGAAAGAAATTTTTTTTCCTGTGGTTTCTTTTGCCTGGTTGTATAGAAAAATTGCACAAGGAATAGAGGAATAGATAGGGAGGAGGTTATAGCTGCTTTTAGAATAAGATCCATTAAATATTCTTCCCACTCGCCCAATCTCAGCCAACAGGAGGCAGGGTTATTATTCCTAAAAGCTAAGCCAGGGGCAGGGTTTCTACCACAGATAGAATTCTACCGCCATCAATATAATCATTTTTAGTGACATGTAGAAACAAATATCCAGGCCAGAATTATTTCTTCAAAATATCTTTTTTTCTCAACTGTAATCATCAGGATATTGAAGACTTATTCAGCACTGCATTTTCTAAAAAAATATAGCCACTTATTCTACCTAGGAATGTGTTTGGCATCATTAGTGATGTGGCAAATAAAAAGAATCACGTTCAAACAGCTACCTTTTATGTGCAGCACTCACAGCTGCCACTTGAAGCTCAGTTTGCAATCAATTTGATAAGTCAATCAATTTTCACTTTTTCCTCATCTCCTAGGTAACCAGAGCATCCATGCAGACCCTTGTTGAGGAAGAACATTTAAAAAGTAATATGTATTTATAATCTGTTTTCTTCGAACATTGACTTAATAGAAAAGCAAAGAGCTACCCATGCAATATTTTAAATAACTAACACAAATTTTATTTGATTCTGGTGAGAAAGTATGAGGGAAGCATACTATAGAATAAAACATTATATTTCAGTCTCTTAGATCTATCAAGAATGAAAACTGCACCACCTGCTATGTCTATTATGTATTTAATGTGAATAACAAGCATCCCACTGCTGGTTATTAAAACAAATCATAAGCCATCTGACATTATACTTAAAACCCATCTCCTGCTTCATGGCTCTGAGAAAGACACAAATTGAGGGTAGGTGCATTGGGGCAGATTTTCTGATGTGAGTACAAGGCATTTGGCCTCAAATAAAGTAATTTATCTTCTTCAAAAAAAATCCTGTAAAAAGACATTATGTAAAATATAATCATAAAACAGTATTATTGGCAAAATGTAGAGGATGAAAAATTCCAGCAGTTGTAAAACGCATTAAGTTTTCCTTACCTGAATCTTCTTGGTGTGTGAAGTCATGAGAAAAATGAAACATTTGGTGTTTGTGGAAATGACTCACATCGAGGAAGTCATAGATCTTGCTTGCCTTGTTGATACAGTGCGGCATTCAAATCCCACTGATAACACAGGCTTCAAGTTTAGCTGGACCTCCCTCATCTGTTTGGACACAGCTGACTGGCTTATTGGTTATTGTTTCCTGTAGAAAGTTTTTAATTCAACACGAAATATGGCTGTACATTGGAGAAGAGTAATGTTTGTCAAATGCTTACTAGAATTGAGATAAGGAATAATTTGGAAATAAAATATTGTAAATAGGATTCTTAGTTATCTATGATATTCTCTGTTATAAAGATTCTTTTCCTTGAATATTTTGAAGGACTTGAAAACTATGTCCTGGTTCTGGATCCATGAACAAGGCATAGGCAAAGACTGGACACAGAATACTGAAGATTACTTACCTGCAAATCATCCTGGCTCTCTTTGAGTCCTTCAGTGGGAACTTGAAAAAATCAATGATTTCAGTTTGGGCCTCATTTGTAAAATAAACAGCATTGACAAAAAGGACATTGAGTTTCTATTGACTCCAAAATTTGATAGCTTTATCTAATAGTGTATGAGCATTTTGGGAGATTCTTTTTATACTCACATATATATTCATTTAAAATGCCTCCAAACTCCAAGGAACACAAAATTAGATATTTAATACTGAACAAGATTTATACTAGAGTTTGAAAATATGATTTAACTGCTGTCTATAGCCTTTTCTTAATGTCAAAATAACCAAAATGTAACAAAATAAAAACAAAGCAACATCATGTGTTTGGATAAATCTGCTCAAGACAGTTTTATTTTATAGCAACCTGCAATTAGAACCAATCCTGGAGATTCTGGGGCCGTTTCAGCTAATGATGTTTCAATTAATGCATAGTTTGTGAGGTTATTACAATCCAAGTGAACACATTCCGGTTTTCAAAATCAAATTGGTGGCTCAAGTCTGTAATCCAGCACTTTGGGAGGCCGAGGCGGGTGGATTAGGAGGTTAAGAGATGGAGACCATCTTGGTCAACATGGTGAAACCCCATCTCTACTAAAAATACAAAAAATTAGCTGGGCGTGGTGGCGTGTGCCTGTAGTCCCAGCTACTCAGGAGGCTGAGGCAGGAGAATTGCCTGAACCCAGGAGGCGGAGGTTGCGGTGAGCCGAGATCGCGCCATTGCACTCCAGCCTGGGTAACAATAGCGAAACTCCGTCTCAAAAACAAACAAACAGACAATCAAAACAACAACAACAAAAAAACAAATTGGCACTATGGACTAAACAGTCAGTATTTATCAAACTCTTTCGTTGAATGTTCCATTCCTAAGGTGTTAAACAAGAACTTGGTTGTAAACAGTTAAACATTTTTGGAAACGTCTTGATTCTTATTGGTGAACATAGCAAGAGACAGAGCCTCTTTACTAAACATAATGAGAGACAGAGTGCAGATTTAAATTTAATGAGACCTTTGTCCCCTACAAAACTCTTTGAGGCTCTCCTGTGTCCTTGCTGAGGAGAATAATAATCAGTATATAGGACTTTGAAAAGTCCTTTGTCACAAGGATTCAGGTCTCCTAAAACTGCTCATAGATGTCATTGTTACCTATAGTTGATTTTAATTTTAAATATAGCCAAACTAAAGTGTGTGTGTGTATTAAAATATAAAGACATTATAACATAATGTTATATATTTATTTATATCTCCTCTCTTTTTCTTTTCTCTTCTCTGAGTTTCTATTTCTGTATTTGTCTCTCTGATTCTGTCTTCACTCTGTACACACACCTTTCAACATTAACTGCAATGTATGGGAAAAGGCTCAGTGAGAATCATAGTAAGTTTCATGTCTTAAAAGCCGAAGATGTTTTCCTATCAATTCTGGCATATAAATCTTTTTTATATCCTGTTTTTCCTGTATAGAAAATGAGAGAGTTGTCTTTAGCCAAAATATTGCGACATTAGAATATTTGTTATACTCTATATTGTTAAACTCTGTATACTCTATATACTAGTACTTCCACTACAGTTTCAAGTAGTTTAGGTAATGTGCAGTGCTGAATTTAAGCATGT